AAAAAATATGAAATAATAATAATATATATTAAATAAGCTTCGGCCCTATTGGCCCAACAAGTAAAAATATAATAAAAAAGTAGCTATTAGAGCCACAACAAAAATATAATATAATAATATAAAGTAGCTATTAAAGCTACTACAAAAATATAATAATAATAAATAATAAAAAGGATAGCTATTAGAGCTACAGTATAAATAATAATAATAATAAATAGCTCTGGCTCAATTTATAAATGTAAATATATAACAAATAAATAACAATAATAATAGTAATAATAAAAACTCACAGTTTGTGGAGCGCAGACTGGCCAGCTGGTCCTTAATATGACTATAATACTCAATAAATTTTACACACAACAAATAATACAAGCAAATATAAAATTGTATAAAATATTTAAATATATATATATATATATATATAGGGTTGGCGATTAGCGCACAAGATATAATTATAAAGGGTAATAACAAATAATAATAAAAAGATGGCGATTAGCGCCCACGCAATATAATAGAATAATATAATAAGAGAAAACCAAACGTAATAATAGAAAAATAGCGATTTGCACAACATAATATAATATAATAACGACCGTTTGGTCTTTACGCGACGACATATGGCAGAAGACAGTTTTCGCGGCAGCCGTGCTGAATAATATCGCGCAGCCGACGCGGCGGCTAAAGATAACGCACTGATAAATTTACATAGTAATTAACGATATTATATAATTCACGAACACAATTAAAATATAAAAATAATTGAGAAAAATATGTTAGTGTGTGTGTGTGTGTGTGTGTGTGTGTGTGTGTGTGTGTGTGTGTGTAGATCGGTGGCGGTGACCGTAAATTTATACACTATTTATATATTATATTTTATTGATATCGTTAACAGTGTTTTTTGTTCGTTGGTTAAAGTTGTTAAGTTTTACATAAATTAATAGTTTCCAGTCAGAGTTAGTTAGTCGTAGTGATCCCTGGTTTTCAAAGTACATTCCGTTTTCCAGAGTAAGTCTTGAAATTTGGTATGGCTTTGGTTGAGCCCATGCCGCTTGAAATATGACATAAATTGTTATAACCCTAAAATTGTAATTTATATTTTCTTATTACCTACGATATCCTTATATAATTTTTTACTAATCTTACTTTTATTCTTTTAATACTTAATTACTTAATACTATATATTGTCCTTATTACTTATAATATCCTTATATTTTCCCCTTTACTTCTTATTTATTTTATTCATTTTACTTAACACTTTCATAATATATTTTCACATTATATTTATGTACTGTAACATGCCTTCTGCCTCTTAATATTACAATATTTTCTCTATCTAATACATCTGTTACCTCAAAAGTACCTATTCATAACGGATTTAATTTATTTTTCTGCGTTTTATCTCTTAATAAAATCTTATCTTTCACGTGTACATCAATCGAACTTTCGTTATTATCATAGTTTTGTTTAGATTTCATTTTATTTTTAATTAGTGTTTCTTTTGCTATTTTATGTGCTTACTGCATTTTTTGTTTTAAATCGTAATAATAATTATCATAGTTATATCTTGGTTCAGGCTCGTGAGATAATTTAATTGGTATCTCTAGTGGCTTCCCATATAATAATGAAAAAGGCTGATATCCTGTTGATGTATGTTCGGTGGAATTGTAAACGAAAAATGCGTATGGTAAATATTCATCCCAATTGTTTAATTTTTTATCTACGTAATGTCTTAAATATTCTGTTAGTATTCTGTGTAATCTTACTAAACTACCGTTTGTTTGCGAGTGAAATAAACTAGTATTTATTTTATTTATTTGTAATAATTTACATACTTCTGTGAATATTTTACTTAAGAAATCGGTACCTTGGTCGGTTAATATAGTTGTGGGTATACCATGCATAGGTACATACAAAATGTGTTACAAATGCTTCTGCGACTGTGTTAGCTTGGTGATTAGATAAAGGTATCCCCATAGAATATTTTGTTAAGTCGTCTTGTAATGTTAATATGTACGTGTTCCCCGATAAAGTAGTGACCAATGGGCCAACTATATCTAAAAATATTTTTTCGAATGGCTCTAAACTTGATGATGTGATAAGCATAGGTTATTTTATTTTCTTATTTGTGACCTTACCCATTTGACATTATTGAAAAATGACCAAAGGAGACGGTTATATAATTTATGATTACAAAATCGCTGTATTCATTCCGTAGCTTGATTTTCTCACCATTGTTTTGAACTGCAACAATGTGTTCGATTTCCCCAGAGTTGTTAAAAGACGTCTCGATCCAATGATGGTTCACGTGGGTGAAGTTGCCTCTGTTTATAGAAGTTATTTAGAACCATAAATATGTAATCTAGAGAATTGCGTTGTTTCTCAATAACCCTTTTTAATCTGTAGGCTATAAACAACATGTCATGAAAATTTTCAACTTGCCTATTTTGATCACCGTAATATTGTAAACCTGTAACGATAACATCAATGTCTCTGACGATTTACTTGATATACATTATTATTTTGTGAAAAATTAACAAAATATGTAATAAAAGTACAAAACATTCTTCGATCATTATCTTGATAAATACAAAGATAGTTTTCAATTACATTAATCACAACTTTGGCATTTTAGAAGAGAACTATGAATGATGGCCCTGACTATGCGTAATTTAATTTATAAATATTGTATAGGAAATGATTAAAAATAAAACGGAGTTATTAAATGTTTTTTGAATGATGCCCTTGTTGATAATTGAATCGCTTATAAGAGTCATTGGCTGGTGCACCCCAAATTTTATAATATTACCCATGTTAACAAGGCCTAAAAATACATTATCAAATACATAACTGTTATCGTAAATGTTCAATAACTGCATGGAACATCGTTAACTCAGTGTTATAAATTCGGCGCATTTAAATTGCGTCCCTAAATTATATTTTGTCCGAGTTATTTCCGTGGTTTTGTCACGGTACATCTGAGTTGCGTCCGCGGTATTCTCGCGACATGTACAAATTGCGTCCACGGGTTTTTCAACGACTAAGAATAATGTTTGATGATAAACTCGTAGATAATCTCGATTATGGATATCTTATCTATAAATTAATTTTGTTCGCGTTAGCATCAGTCGACAGTCACACTTTGACATTTCATGTTCGACAATTTTATAAATCATCGTATTTTTATATATTTTTATTTGTACTTATTTAGCTTTGCAATGGAAAATCTTGAAATAATTAAAATGTTCAGTGAAAAAAATAAACTATTATATTGTATTAATGGATACAAATTCTCTTTTCAAAAATATTTAAATGATAATATTCAGAGGTGGTCTTGTTCAAAACGCTTATGCAAGTGTTATTTTAAAATGAACGAAAATGAAGAAATAATTTTTAGTGCTTTAAATCACGAACATGACAAAGACGACGAAAACGTTTTAAATCGTCAAAAACTCAATAACAAACTGAAACGGAAAGCTCTCGATGACCCATGTGAAAAGCCATGCAAAATTCTACATCGGGAGTTGCGTGAAAGAGATGTAAGTACATTGATTACCACAGATGTAAACCGTATTAGGAAAAATATTCATTATGCACGGTCGATTATAATTCCAAAATTGCCTAAACATTTGGAAGAGTTGCATTTGGCGCTAACCAATTTGGGTGAGATAAAAACTAACAAGTACGAAATTTTTTTATTAATAAATAACACCAAAAAAAATATTGTAGCATTTTCAACGACGACAAATTTAAAATTTTTAAGTGAGAGTAAAACTTTATATATCGATGGCACATTTAAAAGTTGCCCTAAACTTTTCTATCAATTATTTATTATTCATGGTGCTAAAAATACTACCTATACTTCTTTAGTATTTTTTTTACTAACAGGCAAGACTATATCAATATATAAAGATGCGTTTTATAGTTTATTAGAAAAAATGAACGATTTGAATTTAATTTTTGCACCAAATATAATTTATGCCGACTTCGAACAAGCTATACACTCAGCAGTTTCGGATATTTTCCCTGATGTTATTCGCAAAGGCTGTAGATTTCACCTAGGACAATCAATCTGGAGAAAAATTCAAAGTCTTGGTTTGTCTACAGTTTTTAAAAATAAATCTGAAGTTGGAAAATTTTTGAAATTATTCTTTGGTCTTTCATTTTTAAAACCCGACGATGTTAGTAAATGTTTTTATAAAGACCTAATGGCTATAAAACCTAACGATGAAAGAGTTGATAATTTTTTTAATTACTTTGAAAAAAATTATATTTTACTGGATAGTAAATTTAAACCATCAATATGGGCCGAGTTCTCAAACTCGTTAATGCGTACCACCAACGCATGTGAATCGTTTCACTCGAAATTAAATAGCATGTTTTATTCGTCATACCCTAACATTTTCCAATTTGTTGAAGTATTGAAAAATGTTCAAACTGATATTTATATTAAAATGCGAAGTTCAAATTTAGGAAACAAACGAAGAGAGGATGTAGAAAAAGAAGAATTTATTAAAAATACTATGACTGAATTTGAAAACAAAAATATAGCACGTCTTGACTTCGTTCAAAAATTGGCAAACATAAATTTGCCAATACATAAATGATATATATACATAAAACTAAGAAGAATTTATTAAAAATACTGTGACTGAATTATTAACTGGGACGAAACTCCTACGTGTCGCGAGAAAATCGCGGACACAATTCGGATGTGTTGTTTAAAAACAACGGACGCTATCGCAATTTATATTTTCGTATTCTGGGACGCAATTCGTATGCAGCCTATAAATTATTATAATTTATGCAAATCTATTCTAACGTCTTAAAAATATTTTACCATATTAATAAACGGTGTGTGATCTTTGCTTTTAAGTCTTAAGAATTGAAATTAGATGTCTCATAAGTAATTAAGAAAAAAAAGTAAGGTATTTTAATACAATATCTTAAATTTTAAATTTATTATTTTATACAATTAAAATTTCTTGTATTACTATTTACAGAATATTTCAGGCAATAATAGTTATAATAGTACTTTAAACCCGAATTTAAATCAAAGAAAATATTTTATAAAGATTATTGTTACTGTGGTATATTTTAAGCTGATCTACTGTAAGTATAAGTTTCATCAACTTTACTTATTTATAAATTATACTGATTAAAAGTTATTTTTCAATCTTTTCAGCTCAGTCAATTATATTATGTGAAGACCCTATCAACAACAAAAATTCTGAATTAACAAAGTCGGAAAGTCCAAAACTATATTGTACAATTACTGTAGAGGCAGATAGTTTTAAAACTAAAATATTAGTTACAGTTTTTGTTAAAAAGTCTAAGACACGTAGTTGGTTTTCTTGTTGGGAAAATACAAATGAAGAAAGTAGGTTTAATGTACCTACAGGAAGTGTTAAATTTAAATAATTATAAGCATTGTATTCAAAAATTGATTCTAAAGAAATTAGATTCGTACTTGAACATTCAGCATACAACTAAAAAATATATGCGCATATATTTGTACATATAAAGATTATCAAAAATTTTTAAGGATTTTATTTTAGTTATTACGTTATGATTAAAAAATAATATCCGTAAACGATTTCTATCGATTATATTCTATACGCTCCGAGATTGGCATTGTTATTAACATGCACAATTAGTCTTTGGATAAGATCAATTTTAAGTTCAGCACTGATAGAGCTTTTGAACTGAATAATCATTGTTAACACTTGAAAACACTTGAAAACTGCGTAACAGATATCCCCATCAATCTTAATAAGCTTATATGACGTTAATAATTCGATTATGATTATGTTATTAAGTAGTTGTGAAATTGTAATTTGTAGTTTAATAGTTCCCTTGAGACTTAGGTGTGTGCAACTTATTATTTAAGCATTTTTATATTGCTAACACGTACATTTTTTTTTTTTGAAGTTAAACTTCTTTACGCAGGGTAGTGAGGAAAAAAAAAAACGAACGGGCGGCCGTACGAACGCAAACACGTACATGTCGTTGTGCGCAGCCGCGGATTGTCGTAGCTGTATTTTGTAAACGGCTATGGGTTGTGTCATTAAGCGACAGTATTTTTAGTTGGGTTATTAAACAAAGAATACTCAACAATAATATTAATGAGATAAATATTTAGATAAAAACGGAATGATCGTCAGAGATGATTTCATACGGTCGTCGGGGCGGCGGTGCGAAGCGTATCAGTACGTCATATACATAATATCACATAATAATGATAATATTACGTATTATAAATTATAATGTTGGACGGTGACAGCTGATGCGGTTTCGACGACGACGACGACGATGATAATAAAAATACCATACACGTGCAGTTGCGACTTGCGATTAAAGGTCCAGGTCGTGTGGCGAGCCGGTTTTTCGATTATTGGGTGGGTTGAAGTGGTGGTGGCGGCGGCGGCCCGTGTTCCCGTGGTGGCTAAGTTGTACACGTATCCAGTCAGTGTGATTTTAGCCATTGTTATTAATATAATAATATTGTTATTAAGTAATAAGTAGTTCCTAATTCCTATTTTAAATTTTAATGGTTACTTCGATTTTTACGCGATATATTTATAATGTACAGTCGCAAATATACGTTTCCTATTTTAGTTATCATATGCCAATCATAACTACTATACCAATTGAGCAAAATGATAATCAATCATTAGAATAAAAAAAATATAAAAAATATAATTTACATTGTTTCTTTACTTTCTTTATTATCCTCATTACCCCATTCTATCCATGCCTTACTTTTTTTTTCACTCACTCAGTGAGTACCGCTCAAAAGAAATTTAACTTCCCGCGCGCGTACTGGTAATTTTTTTTTTTTTTATGGCTCAAGGAATAAGAATATTTTGTTTAAATACCTTTTATTATGCACAGATTACATTGAAGTTAAAAATAATAGATATTTAGCAAAAAAAAAAAAAATAAATAAAATGGTTTTTTTAATTTGGTACCTATTGTGTTAGACTATTGAGTCTAACACTCCATAATTATTATACTAGTTTTGTGCCAGTTTTTATCAAATAGAATAATATGTAAGCCACTCAATCAGTTGTATTGTAGAATAAACCTGATGATGCTGGTAATTTAGCTAGTAAATATTAAATATAATTAATACATTAGTTATTGGCTAGGTATTGGTTTAACTTAATATATTTTACTAAAAAATATAACACATTATTGTTTATACAGACATGACATGTATTGTAGTGCCTAGCACGTATGTCAGATAATAACTTATTTAGAAATTATATACAAGTTTATAACAATAATTATTGCTATTTTTATTTAAATTTAAAGATTATTATGAACTACAAGACCAGAAGGGTAATACATATGATAGTGGTTTAATCCAATTGTACAATGAAGAACAAGAAGTGAGAAAACTATCATATTATTATTTGAATAAACAGAAATTCAATTAATTAAGTTGAATTAACATTAGATATTAGTTTTTCAACTAAATTATGTTTGTTACAGAGCCTTGATATAATTCAAGATTTATTGAACTATTCTAAATATTTTTTAAAAAAGCAATATAATTATTATAACACACCACTTGTATTCGCGTTAACCGCTGGTTTAAGACTGTTTGATGAACAATCCAAAGCAATAGTCAATAAAGTATTTTTATTTATTTATTTTCAAAACTCTCAAAATTCTCAAGTATAATTTGTTCTTAGGTAAACAACATCTTGACTGAATATCACGATGCACATAACGATGCATATCAAATAAATGAAAATACAGTGTTTATAATGAATGAAAATAATGAAGGAGTTTATGCTTGGTTAACAGTTAATTTTATGAAGAGTAAAATATAAAAAAATAAAAAAATACTATAATTAAATAATATTTAATTCATAAATAAATTATGAAAATGTATTCATTTTTAGATAACTTAAAGGACTTTGATGATACAATAGCTGTTTTAGATCTACGTGATTCATCTTTACAAATCACTTTTTATGTACCACATGAAAACTTACAACACTATGATTACCGATTACTAAAAAAATATACAATCATGGAAATTGAGAGACATTTTTATAATCAAAGGTAATGTAAACGAAAATCTTCTAATTAAATTATACTAAACAAAATTATTCATACATTATTCAGCCATATAGATTTTGGTTTGATGGAAATGCGAATAAAAATTTTGACAATTAATGACAATAAATCAACCTATTCTTCTCCATGCCATTTAACAAGTGATAATTTTTCATATACATATTTGTTTAAAAATTACAAAATCACGTAAGTTTTTTTTTTTTTTTTGAATGAGTAAAGTTTATTGTAACTAAATTCATTAAATGTATTTACATAAAATATAAACAAATTGAGTATGAATTTTACATTTGTTAATTAATTTATTTATTTATGGAAATATTTTCTATACTTACGAAAAAACATGTTATTGATGTAATGCATTTATGTTTTAGTGTTATTTTTTATTTTCACTGTAATTAATTGTTATATTATCATTTCAGTGGTTCAAGTCCTGTAAATGATATTTACACTCAATGTTTTACGGCAGTTCAGTCTTTAATTACAAAAAATGTGAATAAAGTAACCATTAAACAACCTATAATGGCGATTTCTTTTTTTTATGAAACGGCAAAAGTGGCTAATTTAGTTCGTATGTAAATTTAAACATAATAGTATCACATATCGTATTGATATTATTTTGTTATTATTCTTAATTTAATACACATAATATAATTATTAAGGTAATACTGAAAAATGCATAACTATTGAAAAATTTAATAAAGTTGCTATAAGTAAGTTGTTATTATATATAATTAAAAGTAATAGCTAAATGTATGTATTTACAGATATTCATTAGGCATCAATAATTAATTTAAGGTATAACTTTTTTAAAGAATGTTTTAGCCAAACATTTGACGACAGTAAACCATTCAAATGTTTCGATTTGGTCTATATTTATCTATTATTGAATCAACTAACTGATTTTGGTGACAATTCTTCAATCACTGTTTGTATATTACGTCAATAAGTTTATATGGTTTAAAATTGAAATTCATAAAATGCTTACAAACTTTAGGTGAAGAATTATGATATCATTTCTGAAATAAGTTGGGCCCTCGGAGCTGCTTATCTAAAACTACCTATAATTCAAAATAACATTTAAAGTTGCTGAACAATGAAGATTAATGTTATTTGTTTTGTTGATAATTTTTAAATGTCGTTTACTATAATACATAATATATTTATATATGTAATGTGTACTCATATAATCATTATATCGTAGATATAGCTATGTTTGAAAATAGTGTATTGACTTTTTCTAATTTTTCTGTGTTAGATTTTGTGATGTACACATTACCCTTTTACTAACACAGTAAAATTATTAAATTATCATTACGTGGAGTAAGTGTTAATTAATAATTGCATTATGTAATTTGTATTATAAATAAGTAGCTGAATCCATAAGTAAAAGTAACCTATATGAAGTTGTGCAGTATTCGTGGTAAAATAAATAATCATAAATTTTTCAAAATGTTTTATTTTTTTTTAACTGAAAATATTTCTAAATCATAATAACCAAATCCTAATATTAATTATAAGAACTGTACATGTACATGACTATTCTATTTAGTAAAGATAAATAGTTCTTTTTGCAAATATAGTGTAGTGCTTTTCAAATTTCATGGAAATGAATTTTAAGCTTTATATGGCCTAATTTGACTGCATATAAAAATTTAGAATGAAATTAACTTTTCACGTAATGATTTTATACTTAAAAACCGTTTAATGAAATTAACACATCATTGTTTTTAATTTTAGCAGATAAAACATCTTATGTATTAACAAAGGAAAAATTAACTGTGTCTTTCAGTATATTTATAATACTACAAACAAGTTTGTTTACGTGAACATTTTTTAAAATGCATTTTAGTTAATAGCTTGGCAAAGGTATAGAATCAATTGCTTTCATAAATGTTGAATACCTAATTTAAACATTTCAAAATTATATTATTGTAAATTGGAATATAATAATGTTTCGATGTTATAATTTTTCTTTTACTACAATTTATAATTATTTGGATTTGAATTCTTGTGGAATAAATTTTATTAGTTTGGTTAAGAGTATGATGGGTCATCAAAATGACAAGCCACATAAAAGGAACAAAAACTGTAGTGCGAAAAATGTCCACTATATACCATATTCATTGAATATGTGCAATCTGGTGATATCAGCTGCTTCTAGTATTCAGATTATAGAATAATATTAAGGTAAAGTCGAAAAAAATACTGTTTATTTAATACCCCAAAACAAAATATTGTTTTTTTGAATAAAATTTAGGAATATGCCACTTGGATCCTAATGCCTAAAGCACAATCTCTTAAGCGTTAAGTTAATTTTTACAAAAAAACAAATATTGATGCAGTTGAATTAGCTGAAATTAATTTTGTTTCAATTAATTCAATTTTTATATTATAATATTGATAAAAACTTCAAACAAATATTTATAGAAACTGAAGTAAAAATGTCTACCAAATACTAGACAACAATCAACATATTCAAAGCTCTATAACTTTTTTAAAAATTCATTTTAAGAAAACCCCTAATATAATATGATCACAATTATAATTAGGCATATGAATCAACAAAGCAATCATCAAGCTAACCCTAGTAAAATGGATCTTACATCAGAAACTTAATATTATGTCTTTTGCTATTCCATACACAGACTCGTACATTCAGTAATTAAAAGCAAGATTTCTATGTCATAAAAAATATTCAAAAGTTTGTTAAATAATAATTTTTTCTTAATTTTAATACTTGGAAAATTAATTTGTTTTTTAAGCTTTCAATATGTATTCTCTAGAACTTATTCAAACAACTTTGATAAACTTATTAAATTTTTTTTTGATGCTTACTAGTAAATAATTCAGGATAAATAATCATAAAAATGGCATTTAAAACTTCAAATACATGCAGAATATTCAAAATATTATTTAGAATCGTTGATACAATGAAATAAAGAAATATTATCTAATATATATTTCTGTTTAAAAATTCTAAATACCGTTATTAGCATCCAATCCTGAAAGAATACATACTCGTCTCAAAGAATTGAAAACTTATCTATGAAGTGCAATAAGTGAAAATATTACTTAGATATTAAAATAAAATTATTGTTAATTTTTATTTTGACAATCCATTTATTTTAGACTTGATTTAATGGTTTTACTAAGTTAAGAGCTAATGGAAAAATCTCACTGACAGTTAAAGAAGAATTACATTAATTAGTTAAAAAACTAAGAAAATTAGATTATGTTATATAGGTACTATATAGTGTTTTAATGTATTATATAAGCAATATAATGTATAAATCTGTTAACTGTAATTTTACAAAAAACAAAGAGAGGTGAAACTCCTTTAATTTTACTTGAGATACTGTAGGTACTAAGTAGAGAAACTCTTTTCATCTTATGTTTGTAAGAAACCAATTTAAATAACTCCAACATAAGCAATATAAATGAGTATATTGGCCACATCAAAAATCACACTGATATCAGAATAAGCAGTGCAATTGCATACTGATTAACTCTGTAGACATGGAACAGAAATTTTATTCATAATAAATAAAAACGTATTGTAGGGCATTGAAAATTTTACAAAGTTAAAAATATCAAAAAAATAATTTTTTTACAGCATAATTCTCCTAATACTTAAAAAGCTTAACTTACATACAATTTAACTTGAATAAATCAGAAAATAATGAATAATTTTTTTATATTTAATAACTATTTATATAACAATAAAATAACTTTAAATACATATTCAAAAAGTATAATATAATTTTTTTTAATTGATATTAATCCTTTTTTTGCATACAATTATTAAAAATATAAGTTTAATTTGTATACTTTATGCATGTAATTGAATATTTTGACATTTTTAATTACATATTTTATTACAATTCTAGTCGTTAAAATTCAAGCTCTAATCATGACTAATCAACATGACAACATCCAATGCTTAAATTGCCAAGAAAATTAACTGGAAAGTACTAAGATAATTAATTGAAATAATGACTGTCCAATTTATCTCAACATTTTCATCCAAACAAAATGATAAAAATTCACCAAAACCTCCTGGAATCTATTCTCAAAAACTAAATGAAATTGTTTTAAAAAAACCAAATCACTGACAGATCACATAGGTTAAAAGAAAACAACAACAAAATCAAAATGCATTAAAAAAAAAAAAATAGAAAATTTGTAGTTTGAAAAATGCTCATCCCCAAAATAAGCTAATAAATATCAGCAACTACTATACGAAACGAAATTAAAATATTTAAAAAACAATTTAACTTAATACCCCAACTTTAATAAATATTAATAATAATTTAGAAGAATACATATGGTCGATAGGACATTGTCATAGTATTTAAAATCTAAACATAGTCAGATTTTCGTATCAGATTGAAAAAAAAATAAAAATAACCACGATATTGTGTAGTAAATATTAAATTGTATTTATCATTAATGATTAATAATTCATTTTCATCAAATTATAATAATAATAGCACACAATTGACAGGTTGAATAAAACTGTTCTTTATATGTATTTATAATGAATGTTATTTTTCCTATCAATTATTCTTTTGATTGAGCATAATCTTTTAAATTTTTTTTATAGTAACAGTTTTATTACTATGCATTAGTCTTAAAACTGATACCAAGATCAAAAATTAAAGTCTGAAACCTATCACTCACTAGAAAAGTGACAAGACCTCTTTAGTTATTTTGATTTAAATAAGTAAAAGCGCAGGATGACAATGTGATAATAAGTTTAATGACTAACTTAAATTCATGGAGCCAAAATCAAACCATTAGTTTAATTAACTGGTAAATAATAATTTTATAACTTAATAAATAATTAATGAATTTTTAACAAACGTTTAGTGGATAAATAACTTTGTACTAATTCAATAATGTGCTATTAGTGATTTATTCAATATTTAATGATTATCATGCAACCCGACAAATATGTTTAATTATATAAATTTAAAATTTATAGATAGAAATATGTAAATATTAAATATACTTATTAATAAAAGTATTTTATAAATTGAGATTTTTTATACATAATTTAATTTTTTGTATTTATTTATCTAATATACTTAAAAATAAGTATTAAAGCAATATACACAAATCATTGCATGTAGTTAATATTATTATAATTATTATAATTTAAAAACAAAAATGACCTACAATACCTAGATTAAGAGAGCTATTAATACTTATTTTTTGATTAAAAATTAATTTAACACAATTTTTATTCCTAAAACATGCCTAATACCTATTTTAAGTAAATCGTTGTTTAACAAATTTCAATTTAATTTACAAGATAATAAGAACAATTTCATAATTCTTATACTACAAATCAAACAGTAATCGTCTGTATCATATTTCATCAAATGTTTGATTAACAGCCAAAGAGTAACAATGCTTGATTATTGGACTTTTATACTGTTCATTTTGTTCAATCTCCATGGTTGACATATTTTGTATTCTATTCAATGATCCCGAATGAAAACGACCACCATATCCTCGTATTCGATTCATAGCATGTTTATGACGAGATTCATACAAATATTTCTAAAATTAAAAATTCAATTAATAACATTATGAGGTTTTTATTCTTAATGATATTGTATTAATATACTTGTCGATTTTTTGGTATTTTCCCTTCAGCTTCTAATTTGGCTCTAGCTTGCCTTCTTTTCATTATCCTATGATACTGTTTTGCATTTACATATAAGGGTTCTTCTTCAGGTGATTCTGATTTTGGAGGTGCCTGTTTAAATTTTATAATATTAGTACTATTATTTGGTATAATTTTAAAATTGATAATTTATTATTTAAATTATATATGAATAAATATAATGTCATACCATTAATCTATTTTGTTGAGGAACTTCTTGTTCTACAGTAGTAGTAGTGGCCGATTGAGCAACTACTGTCGCAGAATCACTATTTACTGTACTATTCAACTGCATTATATTTCCATTTATATTAATTACTAAAATTGTAATAAGCATAAATATGTTGTTTATATAAAAATATAAAGTATGATAAAGACAGACTGATGCAAGCTAAGATTTAAAGCATTTCTTTTTATTAATTTTTAATATAACTATTCACTTTTTAGAAATTCTATCTAATTGTAGCATCATTATTATTTACATGATATAAACTCAACTTAAATCGTTACTTTTCAATATAACTAAGTTATTTAAAAAAGTATAATTTATTTAAATATTTTTTCTGGATTAATTAAATACAACACAAATGTTTAAAATATAGGGTATGTAAAGAATTTATGTCTGGAGTAGCATCTATTTTTAATTGACCAGGTAGAACAATAAGCAGTCTACTTATTTGTTATTTCCCGCACTGTGATATAGCCATTCAGATAAAAAGCATGAAAGATAAAAAGTTATATATTCATACATAATTTTATTATAATATGGTTGAGTAAAATACTATTTATTAACATATATAACCAGATTAAAAACATCTATCTATATGATAAAATTAATGGTTCTTAAACACTTTCATAACAAATAGATCAGTGATGAAAGACTTTTAAAAACGAATCACAGTACCCCAATTAATTGGTTATCACTAGTGAATGTAATAATTATGAACCAAAATTGTGTCTGTATTTGTACATACTTCTGACATTAAATTATGTTTCAATAAAATTGTTAAAACTGTTCATTATCTAGTATGAAGTATTTTATAAATATTGATTTATTTATACTGATCCAGTTAAATGAAAAATCTAAAATAAATTATCAGGTACAATAAAATTATCAATTGCTGCAACCATGCGCACACCTATGGTTTAGCATACCTAATAGCAATGTGAGTACTAAATTAACTTATATTTAATACATTTCTTTAATATTAAATAAAAAACTTTTTTTTTAATTTGAATGCAATAAAAAAAAAATATTCTATATTCATAAAATAAATCTTAAACATTTGTAGTATAGCTGGATATCAAGTATTTTCAATAACAGATAGAAAATATTTTTTAGTAAAAAATAAGGAAAATTAATTTCGAATTTAACTGTAGATTTTCTTTTAGATAGAAAATTTATTCATTTAATATATATTTATCTATATGTTCAAAAACTAGAAGCTGGAATATTATTATAAATTGACATTTAAAATTATTCATTTATTTTAGTATTTGTCATTAATAAAAAAATAATTAAATACCAACTACCAACTATGAAATCATAAGTTTTAAATGTATTCATTGTACATAAATTGAACAGCATTTTTTTCGTTATTATTTAATAAAATCTAATATGCAATAGAATAATAATAATAGTTGATTCATAAATACTAAAAAAAACTTTCTCTATTAAATACAATTTTACTGGGAACCACTTAAAATTTAAATTTCCAGCCCAAAATACCACCAATTCAGAGCTTCAGTTTTGTACATTACTAGTTAAATGTAAATTATTTATAGTTAATTGAAAAATAAATATTTCCTAATTGTTAATACCACAATGTAACTACAACTAATATTTTATTGTAAAAAATTATATATATTAACTTTTCAGCAACTTAGATCTTCAGTTATTAATTTTTATAAATACTTATAATAGGTTTAAAAAAAAAGTTATTTCTGAAACATGCATTATAATACTTAATTGCTTATATAATGAAACATACACATTGGTTGTGGTTGTGGCTGAGCAATAACTTGTGTATTACCAACTTGTATAGGTTGATAAATAAATGTTTGCCCATTTGATAATTGAATAAATTGTGGTTGTGCTGACTACGTGTTAATAATATAACTATGGTCAATGTTTAAAATATTTTTAAAAAAACAAATGGAAAATGGAAATTACTTACTATGGGTAGTTGTAATAGCTGCAATTGTTGATTGTTCTGTGAATTACATTGGAACAATTGGTTTGAATTTTGAGCATCAGAATGAATAAATATTTGTTGCCCATGGATACTTGGTGTTATTTGACTCGTTGGTAAAACTTGCATTAGGTTATTGAACGGTGCACTCATTTGAATGTCAGGCACATGATTATCTGAGTCGACTATTTCCTCTTTTATAGACTGATTCATGAAATATTCCTATAGGAAGTACCAAACAGTGAAAATATAGTTGAAATTGAAAAATATTGTCGTAGTATAAGAACAAAATTGTAATAATAACTGCAGTAACAGTGTATAGTGTTATAAGTGTTAGTAAAATGTGAAGTTATAAGTCAAAAATTATGACACTAGACACCATTTTTAGCGAGTAAGAGAATAAAATACATCTAAAATGTATTGTAGAATTTCATATACCTAGTAAGTTAAACATACAAGTTAATTAATGTTATAACTATGAATTTTTATCTAACTCATGATAAACGAGGATTTTTGTATTAATAATGATCACGATGAAATGAAGATGATGTTGAATCAGTGTATAGACTTTTTGTCGTCAAACCATAAACCATAAATCGTATAATATAGGTCTGTTCCTCAGTTAATAAGAATTTAGTATGACATTTATATAACATAAGAATTGAGTACCTCGCGGCTTACACTGTAGTAGCTGATGATACAGCATATTTTTCTGTAAACAAATTTAAAAATGAACTCACCATTTATGATCGGATAAATTGTGTTCGAAAATTATTAACTGAACAATTTTAAATGCAGATTACGAATTACAAGTAATGACTAATGAAAACTAAGAATTAGAGTCAACAACGACGATGACGGGACAATAATGTTAGTATTGTGATAGGTACTGTATACAACCAATGGCTTTACTCCAATTGTTATCAATAACCGCTAGCCAAAACAGATGACGTAACACTGACATTTGTTGTCTCTGTTGTACAAGGCACAAACGCACAACATAGGAAATTTACGCTATGCAATTTGCGTTTAGCTTTGTTCGCTTCAATATAAGAGTAAATTGACCTATTACAAAATGTAATGCTTTATTATGTGTACGTTTTTTACAACACTTCGATTTTTTATCTAGTTTTGCGTAGGTATATAAAAACAGTAGGTAGGTACTGTTTAAAAATGCTTATAAGTCATAACACACTTAAAAACCGAATTATTGTAAAAATTCTTCACATGAACATAGATAAAATTCTTATCATTAAGTTTTACGATAAGTCGATTTACTCGATATTAAAAGTTTAACGAAGCTAAACATAAACTACTGAGGGTGGTATACTCACTTGCCTACTTTTTATTTTATAATTGTCATAGCCTATAGGAAAATAAATCTGTGTTATTCATGTAAAGAAAAAATATTAGTAGGTAAAATAAATTGTGATAGACGTATATATTTTAATCCTTAAAGTTAATAATTTCAACAATCAACTTGGCTCACAATAGTAAATAACACGTACATATAAAAAATACATTGTTGTAAGTCAAATACATTCTTTGCTTCTTTCAGAACAAAATATTTTATGATTCTAATTTTAGTCCCTCTCTCACAAAGGTGAGGTTACAAAAAACCACTCCCTTAGATTTAAATCGTAATTGTCGGTGCAAACAAATTGCGTCCCAAGATCCTTTCTCCATACGAATTGCATCCCAATAACATTAATCGACTAGACTAATTGCATCCCGATATTAATTAACAACTAAACATTAATTGCGTACAGGTAATATTTATCAACTATGCCCACTAATTTCGTCCATGTTAATAAATTATTTTCCTTCCCATTTAATACAGATTTAGAACTGTCAATAGCAATATTGAATAAATATTATATTGTTAAATGTAGATTAAAAGTATTGTTATTAGTCCTTATACGTACCTAATTATGTACATCGAAAATATTGTTTTCGTTGTTAAATATAAAAATAAAAGAATAAGTAAAAAATATCCACAAAATAGTTATATTGAATATCGACTTAGATTTTTTTTTTATTGATCAAATAGGTATATCAGATAATCGGAACGCAATTAGTACATCACAAATAGGAATTTTTATACCAGGAACGCAATTCCTAAGCAGTCGTACCTAATTGTGTCAATGCTTTTTCTGTCCAACTGAGTCAAAACAATAATCAAATAAATAATGGACGAAAATAATAAAAAAACTTTTGTTAGTAATGGTCATTTAAGTCTGTTGTTATATTAATATATTATATATTATATATTTATAAACATAATATTAACAAGTCGTCAATAAGTTTATTTTAACTCTAATATTATGTTTATATCTAAGACGATTTAGTAAGTTTAGTTTTATTTGCTATAGAGTAAGAGCCCACTGAGCCCTTAGAGGGATGTAGTATAACCTTAAAGGTTCATATGCACACCCCCGTCCACCATAGGTTTACTCGATATCTTGAAACATTTCTATCTATGTACATTTGAAGATACATATATACCTTCATTACATATGAATGTGTGAACGTTAGAAACATAAACTATAAAATAAAGTAGGTATGATATTACTTGTACACAATATTACAAAATACGTTGCTGGTTAATAAACAATAAAAACATATATAATTATAAATAGTGTAGTCATGTTATCGTTATTTTATAAACACGAATAAAACGTTACAAATGGATAATCCGCAGTAATAATATTGTTTTGAAATCTGATTCTACTTTATGAATACAAAACGATTTTTATTTAAAAAAAAAAACCCCATAAAAAATTGTAGATTGCTGTCACGCAAGAACGATGCAAAATAATTTCATATTTAACAATTAACACCATTTTGACTTTACCTGAGTCACCAACTGTCATTGTCAGCCATAACAGAACAAATTTGTATACATCATACCTAATTGCTATCAATAATCTTCGATAGGTACACGTTTGTCTGTTGCCCCACGAAGGCAGCCGAAGATCAATACAAGACTTCGCGAGCAGTTGTGACCATTCACAACCGCTGTTCGGTAACACAATGGAGATTAAAATTGACATGAATCAAGACTCTTACGCCCAAAACCGAAATCGACTGGAACACCAATACAAAAAGGTACTTGCTTCATAAAAAATAATATCTACAAAGTAAATAGGTACCGCGATAAACATACTAAACGGTTTTGGTTCATAGTAGACACATGGCTTGGATGTTCTTCCTAACATTTTACTATGAGATTCACGAAGCTAATGTTGTAGGTACCATAGTCTATAATATATTAAAATTTTCATGAATGTCTACTTATTAATTTGACTATTTTTTCTCTGTGTTATAAATAATTATTGGTTTTATATTATGCAGTATACTATATACTACATCAAGTACTTACTACTATGAAGTAAATAAGTACAATTAGCTAGAAAATTTCAGAATTCATTGGCTAGTTATAGATTTTTTAGGCTACTTTAATCTAATCTCTTAACAATCTATACCATATTTACCCATAAAACTACACATTATTCTAAATATAAATTGGTAATCACGTTTTATACCGTTATACCTTTATATTCTAGAATTATCACCACATTAATCATATTGTTTATTTTTCCCTTGGTAAGTGTACTACTGATGACTCCAAATTTGGTTCCAATGATGATTCACAGGCAGATGATAGTGACGTGACAAATAAAACCAGTTATTCTAATTTATACCAATTGTTTATTGGTAATTTGACTTGGGTAAATTAAATACACAGTTAAATAATTTAATGTCTAGATATTTAAAATTTTAAGCCATTTTATTATCATACCGTTTTGTTCAAAAATTAAAAAAAAAAATCAAATTTATGTCATTTTTATAGTGGACAACAGATCAAGATATAATGGACTCTATAATCAACGTTGGAGTACATGATATCATTGATATTCAATTTTTTGAAAATCGAGAAAATGGCCAATCAAAAGGTTTTTGTATTGTTACATTAGAATTAGAGAAAAGTTTAAATCGAATTTTGAAGAAATTACCAAATGAACTTATCTATGGACGACAACCTGTTGTTACATTTCCATCTTCAAGTGCATATTTTATGGTGATAATTTATTTACATTTACAAATTATTATACTATTAACGTAATAGTAGGTAATATAATAAATTAATGAATATTATATTAAAATTTGTATTTTTTTAGTTTGAATCAAAATCTGAAACTCGGCTTTCCCTTTCATCAATTTATCAAACCATATCTTCTATGAGAGATATGTCTAGAAATCTTAACAAAAAGTCATTAAAAATTCCATCAGTAGGTAAGCCTTATCATACTAGAATTCCATCAATATCTGAATATACAAAAACGCACCAACAGTATCCACAAAACACACGTTATAAAAACCAATGGAACAGATCATATCAACAAAAAATAGGTAAATCATTTGTAAGTATTTTGTATTGTATAATATTTTTAACAATCTATTTTGTTATTTTTGATTAATAGTTCTTTTTGGTATTATTCGTCTATAGGTCACACCAGAAAAATGTCTTATAGGAGTTGGGAATTCACTTGGTGAGTGAAACTGTCTGTTTTATTTATTAAACTTTTTCTTAAGCCTCGTGGCTAAAAATAGTTTAATATTATATTATTACAAAATATCTCATTTTAAGTGTATTAAAAACTAAAGTCCTTGTATAAATCAATTTTATGGTAATATTCTATTCAGGTCAAATGAATCAAAGTTATCATTGTCAAGCACCAGTTAATCCAACAATATTCAATCAAACTAGCGTACCTCTCACATATTCTCAAAATTATTCGTATAAAGATTATCATCCTTCCTTTACAAATTATTATAGATCTCACATCACAAATAAAACTAAAATGACAGAAACAGAAATAAATTACATTATTAACAGGAATAGAATTGTGTCTAGCTCTGCTATAGCACGAGCTATAACTAATGCTACTAACGGCGAATACTTCAGTGCAATCGAAACTTTGAATGAAGCAATAGCATTGATCGAAGATTCTAAAATAGCTAACGATGACCGCAGTAAAACATTAGTGTGTACTTTGTATAACACAATACGTGGAATTCAAACCAAAGTTGTTAAAAAAAAGAAAGGTAACTTTCTAAAGTTGTATTATTATTCCAAGTTTATTTAATTCAATTTTTATATTCTAGAGTTGTCTAAATCGCCTTCGTGTAGATCATATAGGAGATCAAAACGTGAACACAGTTAATCCCATGAATAAGTATGATTACATTGATAAAAGGTATACACGGAACACCCAAGAGATTTAAGTTTTATAATGATAACTAATGCATAACTTTAAATCTTAAATAATCCATCATGACATTTACTAATTTTGAACTTGTATTTATATTATATTCGACTATCTTAAACTATTACAGTAAACTAAAACAGAAGACCAAAAATTATTACATTATTAAAAAAAAGACTTTAAATTTATGTATACAATAATATAATGTTGTATTGTTTCGACCAATTGCCTATTTCTTTTCATAGCTTTTATCTATAATAGAAATTATTTTGATGTACAGGCTAATTTATTCATTCACAATTCTTTTATACTTTATAGTTATGATAGATTTTTTTTTAGCTTTAATTATTATATGAGAATACATTAGTGTAAATGTACTTATAATTACAGAGGAAAAGGGGTATTTGAGTATTTTGAGTATTTATACAGTGTCAAATTTCTCCAAGACCTTTTTTAAAAAAAAACTGATAATTATTAATTATGAATTATTTTCTAACAAGAAATAGAAAAGTACTAACTATGATTCCAATAGTAATTGATATCGCAGGAAAAGTGGAAGTAATCTTTGAATTGAACTTCTAAACATAAATAAAGTTGGTATAATTTTATATACAATTTAATCAATATATATTTTATACCTACGCTCTAATAAAATATACAATACAGAGTGAACACTTGAAAAATCCATATAAAACATAAATTGTTGATAGGAATATTAAAATTAATATAATAAATTACATTGGGATTAAATTGATTTATTGTAATCTGTTTTTAGATTTTTTCAATACTAATACATTTTGATCGTTTAAATGCTTGATAATATAATGTTCTGTCCTGAAAATAATAATGAAGTATATTTCCTTATTATCTAGGATAGGTACCTGAATAAATGTTCTTAAAAAAAAAAATATAGGATTTTATTAAATTTAATTTTTATAAGAAATAAAAAAATAATTTATATATATACATTCGTGCTAAATTTTAAAAATTAAATGTTAAAAAAATATAGTAAATATCTTGAGAACAATAAGCACGCTGACAAATAAAAATACGTATTTTGAAATAGAGTACCTAAAAAAAAAATTTCAAAAAATTAAGAGAATTTTTATTGTATATTATTTAGAAGCTGCAAAAATATTTGGTATAGACTATAAATAACTGTCTCTGCGTTTTATCACCAAACACACCAAGTTATTCGAATATCAGACATTTGTCATAAGATTAACTATAATTATTGATATTTCGTATTAAAATTTAAAAAAATCTCGTATTGTTTTGTTTCATTATCGAACTTATTCTATACATATTAAGCGGTTTTGTCCTGATGATATATAAAACCAACGTAGAGATAAAATTATAAGTTGATACTTAGAATTTTGGCAGTGCCTTCATAGTTCGTTCTATAATTTAAATGCACTTAAATAAAGGATTTTGTAAGATTCGCATTTAAAAGAAGAGCTCATACATGACCACGAACACGTAAACGTATATTATAGTGCCTATTACACTGTCTGGCTGTTTACAAAAATCATAAACTTTATTGCTGTAACATTTAAATTTCTAGATGTCACATGTTTATTTTTGCCTAATCGAAATCACATATCAAAAGTATTATTGATTGTGAAAAAAAGGGTACCCTATAAAGTCCATTTATTCGAATAGCAATAAACAATTTACGTATTAAATGTAAACTCCAAAAGGTTATGATTTCGAAACCAGTTTTGACCGATAAATTATGATTACATTATCGATCATAAATCGTTAAAACACGTAAGTTTCCTCCTCAAAAAAAAAAAAAAAAAATGTTAATATTAACGAGACACGGTAAACTTGATTTGTTTTTAAATGTATTAAAATATAAAACAATCTATCCATTATTATGTTCATCGTGTATGTACTAAATACTAATATTATATAAGACTGTAAGCGCTTTTTTTGTGTAAATTAAACTCGATAACTTACTATCGGTTCAATTTTAGTAGGATTTTTTTTATGGGTTCCTAATGATCACGCGCGAATGTCATAGGTATAAAATAATTTAGTCCGATAAAGTTAGTAAATAAGTAGATATTAATAATTAAAATAAACGTGTAAATAATTGTATATATAGGTACCCTAAATGGGCCGTACATCATTTGCGCATCGTCTGTTTACCTGTGCCAAAATATCGTACATCATTTGTGCATTAGCGCTAGTTATCGTTAGTGCATTGTCCGTTTTACCTGCACCAAATTATCATACATCAAATGCGCATCAACATGTTGAACAATAGAATTGTATAAAAAAATAGTTTTTGATTGAAAATGTAATAATTTCCATAAATCATATGTAATAAATAAACTCATATAATTAAAATAAATTGAATTGCAGTCATGATAATTATACAAATACACATATTGAAATGAACACTTTTGTCGGCACATTACAGTCATAAAGTACAAATATAAATATAATTTGAATAAATTGAAAATAAATGCCATCGCTGCCATCACAAAATCTCTCCATTTCTCTCTATCATATGCGTCGTATATTTTAAAACAGAAATATCTGTACAATATTTGAAAGTTGATGAATGAATTTCAAGATCAAAGTTAGAAAACAACTAGCACTTTTGGATATACGCCATTTTTTAAATTCTATTGTTAAATAATATTGATGCGCAAATGACGTAAGACCTTTTAAACGGCTAATGCGCAAATGATGTATAACCCAAAAATCGAATGATGCGCAAATGTCTTACAAAAAAGGTCAAAATTAACAATAGCGATGCGCAAATGACAACCGGCGCCTAAATGCGACGTAGCGGTCCGCAGGTTTCCAGCTGCCTGCAATCTGACCTATTTGTCCGTCAAATTGTGTTTGATATCTGCGTGTAAATATCAGTTATCCCGAGTAATTTATCGTTAAAAACAATCATGTCCGACATGTAAAATACAAAACAAGTAAAATTAAAAAAAGTAAATAAAAAATACGAACCGTTAACATAGAAAACCAATACGCATACTTATTTTATAACGTTATCTATCACATTTAATACACATCACACGCTCTCTCTCCTAAAAATCCTTTGACACGTAGACATTCAGTTGTTTAAAAATAATACTATTTGTATTATAATAATACTGTCGGTACTGTTAATAGTGTTAATATTATCTATACCAGCGATTCCCAAACTGTGCTCCGCGGGGCGCGGAGCACTTAAGGCTCCGTATTTATTTTTCGAAGGCTCCGTTCGTTCTACTATAAAACTTTAAAAATAAAACAATTATTATTAGATGATATGCGTCTTTGATTGGCTTCTGTGACATCAGATATCGATAAGCTTTGTCTCAAAAAACAAGTACATTGATCACATTAAGACACACTTCAAGACGTGTACGTGTAACGTAAAACGTTGTTTTTTAATAAACTACTATTTTTCAATTAACTTAACTATAATATAATATACCTAATATAATATATATTATAGGTTTATTCTCATTTTATAGACATACATTTTAAACAATAAATTTAATAAATTAATACTATTGTTTCATTTATTAATAAATATTTTATTATTCTGTTTCATATCATGTAAAATATGCTTCGCAGAACATAAACAACTAAAACTTAATACTAAATATTTCTAAGAGGTTCCACGAGAAAAAACTACTTAAAAAAAGCTCCGTGGCTGAAAACTGAAAAGTTTAGGAATCGCTGATCTATATTAATATATAAAGCAGTAGCTCAACCAGAGGGGGTCCCGTGTACAGACCCCCCTTGAACCATATCGTATCTTTCTGAAATACCATAATTTTATTGTTACAGCAATATACACATCGTACATACTTTAATTATCATTAAATTTTACATTATAATTACAATTTTTACATTAATCAAACAATAAAATAATAATTAAATTTGCTTGCTACTTTAAAATAATTATATTTTTGGACACCCCTTTAATAAAATCCTGGTTGCGCCACTGATATAAAGCTGTAAGCGCATTTTTTGTGTAAAATAAACTCGATAACTAACGTTTCAATTTTGATCAGATTTTTTTTTATGTTCCTTATTATCATAAATACAAAGGCAATCTTTCAAAAAATAGATTTACGCAATAATTGTTTTGCTCATGGACAACTATATAATATCATCTTATCAAGAGTTGGTAATATAGTATATTCAAAAGTATTAACATAACTTAAAAAAAAAAAAATTCTAAAAAAAGAATTTATTATTATTTTCCAAATACTAATTTCATGAGTGGAGAAAAAAAATTATAAAAAAATAATATTTTAAATAAAATAGAACAATAAACAAAAAGACAAAAAAAAAATAAACTTCAATTTAAATTTAAAAATTAGTTAAATTAAATAAATATGGTTAAATTTCTTTCAAAACTGTTCACGGATGAACCCGGGTAATTCAGCTAGTACATATTATTATGTTATCAGAAAAGATGATCATTTAGAATTTTCGTTATTCCCTAATCATTATTGACAATTACTGATGATGGATGTTAGACATTGTTGAATATTTCGTAGTTTTATCTACATTTTCGTATTATTTTAGGCAATGTTGTATAGGTATTTACGTGGCTGATGGAACAGACTATAGATAATCTCAACTCAGTTTTATGTTATCGACTTTTTGATATTTATTTTTATTGCTCATAATAATTGATTATTGTGTATCGTATCGTATCGTATCGTATATCAAAATTCATAAGTCATAAAAGTCTATGAAAACAATGGCAGAGACAGTATTTGTGCAGTATTTTAATATTTGCAAAAATTGATTTAAATATAATTTGATTAAAATTTGACGGCACAATTATTACATTATTAATTGAAAAAAATGTAATGACAATAACTTTTTTTCCAACCATAACGAATATTATAAACAAATTAAAGAAATAAAGCAGTCCAAAACAACGCTATCCAAGGCCGGAAAAAAGTGTATATAAGATATTATAG